TTGCCAGATCAACAAGGAACTAAGCTGCTTCCTGGCTGTTGGAAAGCACTCACTGTAAGAGAGCCAACCCTCACACTCTCCTATTTGAGGTCAGCCCCCTCAGGCCTAGAAGACCAGGCAGGCAGCTGCAAGTTCACCAACGTCAGCACAGGGCCAGCACCAGCACACCAGCTGCTGGCTCCCAGCTCACATGGAGCACCCCAGCTATACATTAACTGCCCTCTGGCTCCTCACCCTCAGTTTCTGAAGCCCTGTTCTACAGCCACTTCCACTGCCCTCCACACTCCAGCACAGGACTGGGCCAGGAGCACTGGGAGCTGGGTCTGAGCACTCAGTTTGGAGGACACATATCTAGGGTGAGGGTTTCCCCTGTGATCACAGGGTCCTTGGGCTCACTGAGACAGAGCCTTCCCCAAGAAGGAAGCCAGGTTCAAGGGCGCTATTTTAATTTTGATCACTCACTGGACAGCAAGCACCACACCGGGTCAGCAAACTTGTCACACCTCCAAACATCCACCATGGGGAAGGGAAACTGAAGCAAAGAAGCAGAACCTGCCCAGGCTGAGCCAGGTGCCCGTCACAGGCCCAGGGGAGCAGCCTGCCTGCCTCACAGCACAGCCAGCCTCCTGCCAGCACAGCTGCACAAGTCCTGATGGCATCCTGGCTTCCTGCGCAGCTGGCTTCAAGTCAGGCACTCTTCAAGAAATGCAGATTCCAAAATTAAACTAGAGAAAGTGGTTCCAATTTATCTTATACTTCCAGACAGGCAGAGTCCTGCAGGTAGGGTGCGCTGCCTCTGCGTGCTGACAAGCTTGACATTCCATGCAACCCAAAGGAAGCCACCAGATCAAGCCTCAGACATGACTAGTTAACAGCAGCAGCAGCAATGGCTCAAGGCTCCAAATGGGCACACATAAACAGCATGACTCCAGAGATCATCATTCTACAAGACACATCTGCTAACTCACTTGACAGAGCCTCTGCACCCATCTCTTGCAACACACTCATGTTAATCAGCACTCACTACCACTGGGATTTCACTCTCCATGCCACGGGGGGTCTGCTGGGCTCTCAAAAGCCTTTACCCAAACCTGTAACTACTGTTGTAGAAGCACAACTCAGAGCAGTGAATTACCGTTCAAGCAGCTGTGTCTGCTGCTGGAAGAAGGGGTTAGCACACAAACAGTCATTTAAGGACTTTGGTGCAGTCAGACTTGTATCTCCCACAACTGTTTTTGCAGATGCTCCATCTGACATGATCACTCTAGAGAAAAGGAAATTACTAAAATAAGCTTTGCCAGAACTGCCTGGTGGTTATTGATATGACTGATATGACAAGGATCCTAAAACAAAGCGATGAAGAAATAGCGACCAGGGGTCCAAAAGCCCACTACCACATTTTTGTAGTCATACAGGAGGCATTCTCTCAAAGTATGATGTAATGTATGTAATCTAAGGAATATGCATGTTTAAGGACAATATAATCACAGCCTGGTTGATGCCTGGAAGAGACACACTTGGAGGAGCTATCCCTCGTGTCTCCCGGTGCCGCAATAAAGAATACCTGCTTGTCAACTTAAAACTTTGTTGGGAAGTTCCTGGAGTTTCCTCCAAATCAATCTGGCATCCCAGATGTGACCCTCTGTGCTCGGCTGCAGGACCCGCTGAGGACAGGGCTCCCTAGGCTCTTCAGGAGTTTTTCCTGGAAGGACCCCTTGACTCATTTGGATCACTGTGGGAGCAGACAAGGACCACCTTCATAAAAGGTATTTTTTTCTTTTGTATAGTCTGTAAGGTGCAGGGGGCATCTTGCATAAAGACTAAATTGGTAATTGGGTAGGGTTGGTAAGCGTACGCAAGGTTTGGAAGCATTCCGTAAATTGAGATAGAAAATATCATGGGTAAAGGCGTACACACAATGCTAGTTTCCATTTGGTATGCACCCACAAGAAGCAGGGGGCATCCTGTGGTTTGGGTCCTACAAGACGCAGCATCTTGTAGAAATGTTTTTGGATTTTACTGGTATTTCACTTAAGTTTTGGCTTGTTATGATTTTGGTCTTGTGATTTTGGTATTGGTCAGACGCTGCTATAACTGCGTTATTAATTCTTGTCTCTGTTTCAACTGCTGTAACTGTGTGGAGTGTGTCTATTTTGTGGCTTGTTACAGTGACGATATTGGTCTTGTGATTTTGGTATTGGTGACAGACTCTTATAACTGTTAATTGTTGCTGTTACAAATTGTTGCTGATACAAATTGTTGCTGATACAATTTTTTTTCCCCGTAACAATGTTCAAACCCTCTGAGAAAACATCCCTATCTCATCTAGCCAGCACTTAGTTTGCCCCTGACACATTTCCACAGCAAGTTTCACACTCAAGATGCACAGCCATCCTTCTCAGGGTAGGAAGACACTTAATCCCTACCATCCAGTGCCTTTTGAAGGAAGTAGACACTGCTGTGGCAGGGAAGCAGGACTGAAGCCCTGGCTTTGCTTTGGCACCCTTGGGAGAAGCTCAGTAATTTGTAAACAACCAGGTGGTACAGAGTTCAAGTTTGCTCTTCATCCAGTTTACAACTTCAGGCCATTTGCCCACATGCAGAATTTGCATCCTTGCTTTAACAAGCAGCAGCAGAGCGTGGCTGCACCTACCCAAGCATCACAGCTGTGGAGACAAACCCCAGAACCCCAGGCCTAGCAGCTTGAAGAGCAATCGCAAAGGTAACCTGGCACTCACATCAGAAGAGCTTCACACCTTCTCCTCCTCCCCTGGGGAGGTTTTGGGGCTGAAAATGGGGCCTCACAGAATAATTTTTACTGCCTTATCCCCGGTAGGTTCAAGACTTCACCTGGACATAGCCTATATCTAGGAAATAATTCAAGTCTAAGGCACTTTAAGAGGTGCCCATGTAAACGCTACCTCTGTCCCCCACAGCCACAGTCCAGCACCTCAACAAAGTGACCAAGGAGGGAAATTCCTGGTAAGTTCACAGATCTTGTCCAGTTCTGCACTTGGGTAATCAGCCCTTGTGACAGGGACTGCATCCAGAATCTGTTTTCTCATACTGCCTGGGAGAACAGCACAAGGGGCACATCACTCGACCAGCTTTGCACCTGGGGAGACTAGCAATGGAGTGTGACAGGCACACATGAACTTACCAACAGCCTTTGCTGTGCGGAGAGCCAGTACCTGCCCTGCCCATCCCAGCATGCAGTCCGCTGTGCCTGGGATACTCCAAGCAGGGTCAGTGACAGGCACTTATAGCTGATGTATGTAAAGCAGTGCTGTGCTAGGCACTAAGAGGCTTGAAAAACGTATCTGTTTCACCCAACAAAGGAAAAGTTGGGACAGCAATAGGCTTCATAGGCCTTTGTCCTTCAAGCTCTTTATTGAGCTCAGCAGGATCAAGAATTATAGAACCATAAAATGGCTGGGGTTGGAAGGGACCTTAAAGCTCATCTAGTTCCCAGCCCTGCTACGGACAGGGACAGCTTCCACTAGCACAGGTTGCTCCAAGCCCCGTCCACCCTGGCCTTGAGCACTGCCAGTGATGCAGAAGGGCCAAGTGCCCACAGTGCACCAGCAGAACCCGGCGCAGCTCCTGTCCTGAAACACTCAGACATCCTCCTGGAGGAGCTGCGTGCAGGAACCACTGCAGGGTATGAGGCAGCTGCTCTGGCACACTCCCTCAGCTGCTGTGCGGACGCTTGCCCACAGGAGCCAAGGGAAGAGATGTGGGAGGCCTGACAAGCACTGGCCTGGCACAGCCAAATAAAGCCCCACTGCTTCCGTGCACACGGCTGGCAGACGGCAGCACCTGATGTGAAGGGTTAACTGATGTACAGGGGGGTAGGGTTAAGCTGCTTGCTGAACAATGTTACTGCTTACTTATGCTTACTAAACAAATGTGTGCTCAACACTTATTGTGCTAGCCGAAACAGAGTGGGAGGACCAAGTCTATTGATAAGAAAAAGGACAGTAACTCCTGTTCTCTGGACCCCTACGCCAGCTGAAATCAGCTTTGCAGTTTGGACAGTGACTAAATCAGCAGGGAACATGCACAGTGATGAGAGATGAGAAGTTCAGGGAAGACTTGTTTACTTCATCTTTAGACCCTCGCCCACGACCACCAGGAGACACTACGCAAGCAAGGACCTTTTACATCATTATAATATGAAGTGGGGATAGTTCATTAATATGTATAGGCATGTTGTGTAACCTCATAAATATGTTATAGAGGATAAGTATGAAAGAGAACAACGCTGAAGTGCACATGACGTTGGAGGAGCGATCCCGCATGCACCTCAATGCTGAATAACGCATACCTACTTTAACGAGTTGTGGAGTCTACCCACGTATCACACAGGAGCCGGCAAAGCTTGAGGGCCAGCCCAGGCCCACGGTCCGCGGGTTGCTCCTGGGAGCGGCCGCCCAGGCCTCGGGGGCAAAGGCACACGGACACCGCCCTCACACGGCCTATACAGGTTGACCGGCCGAGCGCCGACGGGACCGGGCCCACATGTCCTGGGAACCGGAAGGGGGGGGCGGGCTCAGCGCAGCAGAGGCCTGCGGTAGGTGGGGGAGACCCGCGGGTAATCCCGAGGGCCTCAGCCCGGGGCCGCCCCGCAGCGTTGCCATGGACACGCACTCACCCTCTGCCTCTGACGCAGCCCGCAGCCCTCGCCACCCGCCCTCAACCCCGCGGCGTGAGACAAACGCCCGGCCAGACCGCCCTGAATTTATCACCCACCGTGGAGACTGCGCAGCCAATCAGAAGCCGCCCGCGCACGTGACCGCACCGCCGATTGGTGGAGGCGGCCGGGACACCGCACAGCGGCCGTGGAGTCCGCGGCCCTGCTTCGTTTCACCTCCCCTCAACCAACGGCGAGCTCCGAGCGAGGCGTGAGGACCCGCCCCGCGGGCGGCTGGCACCAGACCCCGCGCAAGCGCAGCCGGGGAAGGCAACGCAGCGGCGCTCAACGAACATTTATTGCGCGGGGCCATTGCGAGCGGCACCAGCCATGGGAGCCGACCCTGGGGGTTACCCGGTCCCAGCCCTGCCGGGGCAGGGGCACCCGAACGTGTCCAGGCAGGGCTTGGATGTGCCCAGAGATGGAGCCTCCACATCCCCCTGCACACCTTGTTCAGTGCTCTGCCACTGCAATGGAACAAGTTCTTCCTCGTGTGGAGGTCAAACCTCTTGTGTTTCAGTTCATGGCCACTGCTCCTCATCCTGGGGCTGCCCACCACTGAAAAGAGTCGGGCACCTTTCTCCTGGCTCCTGCCCCAAACCTCCAATCAGCTCCCTCCACCGGCTCTCCCCTTCTTCATCTCTGAGGGCTCACTCTCCTAGGAAGAAACTGCTTTCAACCTCCACAAGCAGGGTGGTCAATGGGAGGGGGAGACACCGGGCTTTGCTCCCAGGGTATCAGACCTCACTGCTCCCTACACTCACCCCACGTAGGGCTCCCCACCCCTGTGGTTCTGCTGGTGCTGGAAGAGCGCCGAGCTCACGCTGAAGCCCTTTCCACACTCAGCACAGGTGCAGGGACGCTCGCTGGTGTGGATGCCCAGGTGCTGGATGAGGTGGCCACTATGCCGAAAGCTGATCCTGCACTAGGCACAAGCGTAGGGCCTCTCCCCGGTGTGGACCCGCTGGTGTTTCATGAGTGCAGAGCTGCGACCGAAGCCCTTCCCACAATCTGTACACTCGTAGGGTTTCTCCCCGGTGTGCACCCGCTGGTGCTGGAGGAGTTGTGAGTTCCTGGAGAAGCTCTTCCCACACTCAGCACACTTGTAGGGCTTCTCCCCAGTGTGGGTTACCTGGTGCTGGATCAGCTTTGAGCTCACGCTGAAGCTCTTCCCACACTCAGAGCACTCGTAGGGTTTCTCTCCAGTGTGGACCCACTGGTGTTGTGTCAGGGCTGAGCTCACACGGAAGCTCTTCCCGCAGGTCATGCACTCATAGGGTTTCTCCCCAGTGTGCACCCGCTGATGCCGGACGAGCTGTGACTTCTCATAGAAGCTCTTCCCACACTCGGCACACTTGTAGGGCTTCTCCCCCGTGTGGGTTAACTGGTGCTGGATCAGCCTGGAGCTCACGCTGAAGCTCTTCCCGCACTCAGAGCACTCGTATGGTTTCTCTCCGGTGTGGACCCTCTGGTGCCGTGTCAGGGCTGAGCTCATGCTGAAGCTCATCCCGCACTCGGCACACTTGTAGGGTTTCTCCCCAGTGTGCACCCGCTGGTGTTGTGTCAGGGCTGCGCTCACGCTGAAGCTCTTCCCACAGGTCCTGCACTCGTAGGGTTTCTCCCCAGTGTGCACCCGCTGGTGCCGGAGAAGCTGCGAGTTGTCGGAGAAGCTCTTCCCGCACTCAGCACACTTATAGGGTTTCTCCCCGGTGTGGGTTAACTGGTGCTGGATCAGCTTCGAGCTCACAGTGAAGCTCTTCCCGCAGGTACCACACTCGTAAGGTTTTTCCCCAGTGTGCACCCACTGGTGCTGTACAAGCTGTGTGTTCCTGGAGAAGCTCTTCCCGCACTCAGCACACTTGTAGGGCTTCTCCCCAGTGTGCACCCGCTGGTGTCGTGTCAGGGCTGAGTTCACACTGAAACTCTTCCTGCAAGTCCTACACTCATAGGGTTTCTCCCCGGTGTGTACCCGCTGGTGCTGGACAAGCTGTGAGTTCCTGGAGAAGCTCTTCCCACACTCGGCACACTTGTAGGGCTTCTCCCCGGTGTGGGTTACCTGGTGTGGGATCAGTGTCAAGCTCATGCAGTTCCCATATATCTTGAGTCTTCCCATGGAAGGGTTTCTCTGCTGGATAACATCCGGCAGCCTCCTGAAGCTTTTTCCACACAGTGTCGCTCGGCTCTGCCTCTTCCCCAGAGATCTCTGAATCCTTTCTGACCTGCGTGGGAGAACAGGGTCCTGTGCAGGACTCTGGGAACTGTTCTCCTCGGAGAGTCCTGAGCATAAACCCTTGGGCTCCACTGGCCCGGGGATGCCTTGATGGGCATTGTCTTCATTTGTGCTCACAATCCCATCTTCAGCTGCAATAAAATGAGAATCCAGACAAGTCACAGGCAGGACTGGAAGCTTTGGACAGGACAAATCCCAGGGAGCTAAATGCTAAAAATTCAGCAGATAGATTGACTTTAAGTATAAAACATTCTGGTATATCCTGCGTTCAGGACATGGTATTTCCCTTGAAACTACACAGTGGATTTTTCAGAGTGTTCACAGGAGCAAATGCTATAAATTACCCTGCATGCCTCACCAGAACCTGAATCTACTGAAATCACTGGCATATTAGAGGCAAAAGTTTACTGCTTATATGGGAAAGATGCTAGCTCTTCCAGGATGTTCTACCTGAAAATCATAGAACCACAGGATGGTTTTAGCTGGAATGGGCTTTACAGATCACATCCAGTTCCAACCTCCTGCCACGTGCATGGACACCTTGCACTAGATCAGGTTGCTGCAAGCCCCTTCCAACCTGGCCTTGAACACTACCAGGGATGGGGCAGCCACAGCTCCTCTGGGCAATCTGTGCCAGAGCCTCAGCACCCTTGCAGGGAAGAAGTTCTTTCACCTTATCTACATCTCCCCTCTGTCAGTTTAAAGCCATTCCGCCTTCTCCTGTCTCTACTTGCTCTTGTCAAAAGCCCCTCTCCACATTTCTTGTTGGGCCCTTTAGGTGCTGGAAGCTGCTCTAAAATCTCCCCAGAGCCTTCTCTTCTTCAGGCTGAACAAGCCCAGCTCTCTCTGCTTGTCTCCATAGGATGTTACTAAAAGTTGAACTGGGAATCAGAGGAAGACCATAAAGAACATCATTGGTCAGCAAAACATTACTTGGGATGCAACAGTAATCTTTGTGCTCTTGTGCTGATGGTACTGCAGAGAAAGAAGATGCACAAGGCATGAGACACAGACACTACCTGGAGCCTGGCTTATGCCACTCTTAGAGCAAATTAACTTTTGCTTTCACTGGTGCAGAAGAAATTTGTTGTACATGCAAGGTGGTGGGTGACCTGAATATCCCCCATGGCTGGCTCCAGATTATGCACTGAGGAAATCCAATACATGTAGAAGATGAAGGTAGGTGCAAGCCAAATTAGTGCTAGCTGAACTTTTATGAATGGCTCCTGGGACACAGGCAATGAACAGATCCCTGCCCTCTTATGTACATAAAGTGTTGCAGAAGCGTTACTGGTACGAATGTTCACTGCACAGACCCGAGGTCACCTGAAAGCCTGGTCAAGACAAAGGGCTTGTGCTGATTCCTTGTGCTGACCTTGAAAAAGCCCTCACAAGTACATGACAATTAAGTTTTCTATGGTGTTCTATACTTTTGGGGGAAGATCAGGAGTGTCAAGCTTCTTTTTACAATTACAGTCACGGCTCTAGCGCTTCTACAATCATTTCTGTTACTTCTGAGCTACTAGGTACCTTCACTGGCACCTAGGACACGCTGTCTGTAAAGGCTTTGATAAAAACAAGACAGGAACTCACTGGAAGTATTCCAAGTGGAAGGAGAGCAAGGTCACAATGATGAGGATTTTATACTAGAAGCACAAGGCTGAACTGGCAAAAGTGAATATGCAAGAAAGACATGAAGAATGTGGCTCTTCCTCAGCCCATGCCAATTTAGGTTGATGGCAAGACCTCTGGTATGCCCAAGACTGCCAGTGATATAGCTACAAGGCAAGCTCCAAGTAAGCAGATTAAAGGGACATGTGGGGTCCAGAGGCATTCCCGAAAGACATTCATCCTTCACCAAAACTGGTAAAGAAGCTAAGCTGCTGAGGCATGAATGAACCTGACAGGGTGGTAAGGAAGGGAAAAGGGAGGTGGAAACATTTGCTGATGACTTTGTGTTCCTCAGGGTTAAAGACACAAAGGCTGACTACAAACTGTGGCACAGCCTTGAGATACTGACCAACCAGGTGACAGGGGACATTCACTGCAGGTAAACAAAGACCTTCACAGGAGAACAGCCTCTACAGCTTGCACTTACACCAGGCTGGGCCTAGGATGTTCTTGATATCATTCAGGAATAGCATCTTGGAGTCTGAGCAGCTGGATGAAAACTGCAGCTCCTAGGCACACAACACAGCCAGTCAAGCATCAATGAGTACTAGGAGGGACAGCATATGGAAGAAAAGAGAAGGAAATTCTGCCTTCCTGCTCAAACCCCACATTCTGACTGTGTGCAAGGGGGAGGACGGATCCCCCATGTCAGAGACACTCTGACAGAGCTGAGGAAGACAGAGGCATGACAGGAACCATCAGAGGCACAGAACAGATCCTGTATAGGAGAGGAGTCAACTGCCCATTCTGCTGGGAAAAGGTACAGCTGATAGGGGTATCACAGAGGACTATAAAAACACAAGTGGCCTGTGGGGGGGTTTGGCATCTATCCTGCACCATCTGTTCTAAATTAAGAACTCCTGCCAGCAGTAAAAGGCACTTTCAAAGCAAACTAAAGGAGGCAGCAATTCATAAATCACCTAAATAAGCTGGGGAACTCCTTGCTGCAAGCTGCCATGGATGCTACAATGTGCGCAGCTTGAGAAGGCAAGAAGAGAGATCTTGAGACGTTATGTGCCTAGTTCAGGAGCTTCTGAAGCCACAGACGCCTCAGGCCTGTGAAAGGATACAGGGACACATCACTGCTTGTCTGCCCTTCTCTGGGTCTTGATCAAGGGCTGGGCCTGCTGCCTGCTGTATGAGGAAAGGCCAAGAGAGCTGGGCTTGTTCTGCCCAGAGAACAGAAGGCTCAGGGGAGACCTGATCACCACAGTCCACTATTTAAGGGTGGCTATGAAGAAGATGGAGGCTCCCTTTTCACAAGGGGTCCCATGGAAAAGACGAGGGGTACAAGTTACTCCTGGGCAGATTCTGGTTGGACACAAGAGGAAAACTTTTCCCAGTGAGAACACCCAGCCATTGCAATAATCTCCCCAGGGAAGAGGTGCACTCCCCACTGTTGGATGCTTTAAAGACTCAGCTGGACAGGGCACTGGGACATCCAGTCCAGGTCATGCTTTGCCTGGAAAAGTTGTACTGGATGATCCTTGAGATCCCTCCCAGCCTGGTGGCCTGTGGTGCTATGAATACCGTTGTCACAGGCAGCAGGTGAAGCTGGACAGGCCCTGCTCCAACCCAGCACCGCCGCCCTTCTACATTCTGGGGGCGCTGGTGCTCCCGCAGCACTCTTTCTCATGACGGGTTCACACTCATGGCCCTTACCTGAGGTGCCGCTCAGAGCACTCTTCCCTTCGCAGGAGCGGGGACGGGACAACCGCAGTTCCTCCTTCTGATCCATGTGCATGAGCATCTCCGGCTCCGCTCCGGGGGCCTGCTCCGGGGAAAGAAACGAAGAGGGTCAGGCGAGCTGGCCTTTCACCGACCGCTACCAGCGGCGCGGCTCGGGAGCTAGCGGCTCCACCCCGGCTCCACCCCGGCTCCAGGAGGCGTGCAGAGGAGAGCAAAAGGCCCCGCAGCACCCCCTGCCAGGGAAGCTCACATCAGCCGTGGTGGGCGGGCTTCCGGGCCAAGCCCTACCGGGTCAGGCCCCGCTCCCTGCGGCCCGGCCAGGCCCGCCCTCAGCGGCTGGACCGGCGCAGGTAGCCGTGACGGCAGCGACCAACGGCGGGCGCTGCCTTCGCCTCCAAGGCCGGAGGAAGGTGGCGGCGCTGGGCTGCCGGTGGCGATGGTGCCGTCCTACGGCGAGGCTCCCCCCGCGGGCCTGTCGGTACCGAGGGCAGCTCCTCCCGCGCTCGGACACCCGCGCGGCCTCTTCCCGGGGGTGGGTCACCTGCTGCCGGAGCCCTTGAAGCTCTGTGCTTTCCCGGGCAGGGTATCCGGTGCGGGATGTGGTGCCGGCGCTGCCGGAGGCTGTCCCCGCAGGCGAAGGGTCTCTCTCAGGGTTCCTGTGGAAGGCTTCAGCTCTGCGTGAGTGCTGGGAAGGCTCATCCGTGCCAGACCAACAGCAAATGCCCACCTCGGGGGCAGTGTAGACCCTTCATGGCAGCAGCCAGTGCTTTCTCAGGAGAAAGCATCCAGAGGACACAAAGCAGAGCTCTGGAGCTTTGTAGGTTGACTGCCTGCCCTTCCAGGAGATGGGGACCCCAATGGGGCACTGCCAGGCTGCTGGAGCCTCCCAGGTCCCAAGACTGGAGGAAGGCTGAGCTCAGGCACGAATTTAAACCCTCAGCAATCACTTAAATCCACAGGGAGAGAGCATTCCTGAGCCGTCTAAGCTTACAAGACTGCATCAAGGCAGCTGGAGAGGCAGGGAACCTGAGCAGAGAAACACTGCTGGTACCTCTGAACCCCTGTTCAGGCGGACGGCAGCTCAAACGTGGTTTTGCTCAAGGCTGCATGTCGTGGTTTAACCCATCCAGACAGCTTGTTCACTCACTCCAGTCCCTTGCCCTCCCCCTACTCCTGGAGGGACGGAGGGGAGAATCGGAAAGAATGCAACTCCTATGGGTTGAGATAAGAACAGTTTAGTAACTAAGGTATAACACAAATCACTACTGCTACCACCAATAATAGTAATGCTAAAGGAAATAACAAGGGAAGAGAATACAACACCTCATCACCAGGTGACCGATAACTTGCCCCCCCCAGCCCGACCAAGCACCGACCGATACCTCTTCCAACCCTGCAGTCCCTCTAGCCCTTCTGGGTAACTCCCAGTTACCTCCTGGGCATGACGTGCTGTGGTATGGAATACCTCTTTGGTCAGTTTGGGTCAGGTGTCCTGTCCCTGCTTCCTCCCGGCTCCCCTCCTCCCTGGCAGAGCATGAGGCTCACAAAGTCCTTGGCCAAACCAAAACATCGTTTTCAGCTCTCTTCCCAGCCCGAAAGTCAAAACACAGCACTGCACCAGCTACCAAGAAAGAGAAAAATGACTGCTACTGTTAAAACCAGGACACTGCATCACCTCTCCCATGTACTTCATGTTCCATTCCACAATGAGCAGCATATATGCAATGCCTCTGAAAGGAATTTTATGCGGGAATGATACTAAAACTATACAGGCACATTTGAAAGGCACTCCCAGAGCAGCTCCAGTCCACTTGAAGAAGCACAGGAAGGACTGCTCTGGATTTAGCCCTTTGATACCTAAAAGCTGGCACTCCAAGTGTAATCTGGTAGAAGGGGAAGACGCATAAGTCACAAGTATGCTTTACAGCATTCTTCTACGGTGTAGATACACCAGCCCCTCCATGGAGCTTGGCCACAGCAGAGACCATGGTGATGGATCACACCCACTCACGACATGGCATTAAGACAGGGGATATGTTCTGAAATACGTGTATGCACGGAACTGTGCCTGTGTAAGAAAACAGCTCTCTTTTCAGATGCAAGATGCGAGAAGGTACGTAAACATCTGCAGTACGGCTTTTCAGAATAAACCTACAGAGGCTATGTTTTCAGGCAGCACACAAACCAATGCGGTGGTAGCTGCAAAGGATGACCCATAGTGCCACTGATCATTTCACTGTCACAGTGAATTTATAAGCAATGTGTTCCGAAGTTCACTCAGGGCTCACATGGTGTATATTGACAAGACAAGATTTGTACAATGCCAGTAACATACCTGCTCCTTAAAAAGCAAATCAGTACCTTCGTTGAAAAGTTGGGTTTGGTTTGCTTCTTCTGCAGCCTTGGAAGTGTTAAACAGAAGTATCAAAATATTTCTGATAGCTGTTACTACCCACTGGAAATAAAAATGAAAGCAATGCATTTTCCAAGACAAATGAGCCTGCATTAGGAAGGCAAGAAAACACATGAATATATACAAACAGAACTGGCTGGCAACCCATAATCGCTGCACATGGCAACACCAGTGCAAGCTTGGGAAGGCTGCTTTTGATTACAGAGTAATGAAGCAGGGGATTGAATGACTTCTGTCAGGAAATTTGCAGTGCATGTCAGAAACGTCCTTGTGGTCTTGAAGGCCGTAAAAGATTTTTAATCCTTTTCTCATCATCTGAGAAAAGTTTCAGAATTACGAGAGACATCTCAGTTTGTCAATGGCAAGCAGAAGGAAGCGCCAAGCCAAGCCCCCACAAAGCAGTTACCTCCTAACCGTGACAGCACAGATGCAGTATTTAAATCATCTTTCTGCATTAGGCAGAGACTGCCCTGGTGCAAGCTTTAAGGATGACAAAGACAGGAGGATGGAGACACTTTTAGTGCCAAAAATTCACCGTTTTTTCATAGCATACTAAACATTTTTTTATGACACGGTGTTATTTGAATGACTGCAATTTACATCCACTGAACTGTGACACCGCATTAACTGAAGGTGTAATAATTGATTACAACAGCTTTGATTGTAAATGTAAGTCGTACATAAAAGAGAGCAAAAAAGCTGGGAAGGGATCTTACTTATTTTCCCATATTAAGATTGGTGAGTAGGACTGAAGATTTTTTCAGGGATGAAGTGTGTACTTGAGAGAGAAATACACAGTACACTGAGGGTAACAACATTGACTAGAATGCCACTTAAACCAAGCCTTGTCCTTTTCACATAACAAAGTCGGCTCTTGCACAAGGAGGTGGCTTGGGAAAAGTGATGGGACAGCCAGGGAAGAAAACTGTGGAGACAGTGTTCTCACGGGAGAGCGCATAATTGGTACATAAACTGAATAATCCTGAAAGATACAGCAATGCTGTGAGAGGCCCAAGGAAGCTTAAGCAAGCAAGATAAGAAGAAGCTGTAATTCACTGAGTTAATGAGAACTGTGGACTGCTGGCAAGCTTTCGAGCTCAAGTTCTCACACCTGTGCTTAACAAATTATGTGTTAGTCGCTAAGGGTGTTCAAGACATGCATCCAATCATAATATGCCAAATCACTGTAAGTGCCTGTAAGAAATGGTATATAAGGAGTTAAAGCTTTGTAATAAATTGGCATTCGCTGATCACATTGATCGTTCCTGTGCTGTCCGTGACTCCCGCGTCGCCAGAAAACTATCCCAGATTCCTGACATTCACCACATGTGGCAGAAGGCTTTGCTAGTTGGTCCCCATACACACACTATACCTGCCATAGACCTGACAGAGAAGAGCTTAATCAGTGGCCACCCTTTTCCCCCCCACCAGGAGCCCTCCCTCTGAGGCCAGACCAGACCCTTCCCACAGCCCATCCTCCCAGCAGATACCCTCCTTTTCCCCAGGTCTCTCTTACCTTGGGGCTGCACAGCCTACATGAACTGGTCTCTCTCCCTGATTGATCTCTCCCACCTCTCCTTCCTGCAGGGTGTCCATGTAAACTTCTCTCCCTCCAGTTCTCTGCCTGGGGTTTCAGTTAGTAGAGGCACAGACTCTACTGCTCTCCACTAGACCCAGTGTTGATGCTTAGAATGCACCCCCGACCTGTCATAAGTCATTACTTGTAATTTATCATTAGTACCTTACACATTGTTTATTGTATGTCATATAAATCAAATAAACTCAAAGATACATGATATAAAAAATAAAAATATTGACATGTTGCAAATCTATAAATACTTTTAGAAATCCAGCTTCTTATTTCGAAGTGTTGAGTGCATTTTGTTCAGTAAGACTCTGCAGACTCAGAACTGCCAGAAGAAGAAAAGTCAGAAGATGTTGTGAAAATAAATACATAAAAGATGACAGTTTAGGGTCCAAGACTTCCCCAAGAGTCCCAGACAGTTTACAGCCCAAGATCAGTCCACTTTGGAAATGACACTGATCAGAGAAGTTGGTTTAGATCAGCATGTAAGAAGTTATGAAGCGATCCATTGGCCATTATAATACTGTCTTAAAAAACATTTCTGTGGAGGACAGAGCTAGGCTGACAAGGTAAATGTCACTCAGAAATGAAGAATAAGGTATCTTTAACATGGATCCAATTGGCAAGTGAACACACACGACTGAATGTTTAAGGGACTTTCACATGACATTTGGTGTCTGAAGGTGCTTTTGGGAGCCATCACAGAGACCAGAAAAACACCTCCACTGTTTTGCATCCATTTAAGAAACACAGGTTTAGGAGTTTTACCAGAGATTGAGAATTGAACCATGGACAGAAGGAAGGCATTGTATTCCCATAATGCTCCCTGCCTTAACAATCAGCAGGGCAAATCACATGCTGAAGAAACAAAGATGGAAGTCAAAGGGGTATAACCACTCAGTGCTTTACACAGGGCAAAGGAGACTTATTTATTGCAGCTGGGTTATTCTACTCAGTACTAGAACTTGAAGGGTGAAGTGTTTCACCGCCCAATGCCAGGGAAAACGTCCAGGTGGGTGTCACTGTGGGAAGCACCTACCCCTAGAAGCACCAACATGAAGAAAAGTTGGGGACGTAAATCCTATTGAAAAATGGAGAGAAAAAAAAAAGGCACAGGAGGAAAATCGGGGGAAAAAAGAGGCTCCAGGCAAGCTGTGTGCTGAAGG